TATATATATATATATAAACAGAGAGAGTGGGAGAGGCAGAGTGTGGGAAAAGAGATTATACTCACGGATAAACAAAAGCAGCCAGCCAGCCAGACAGATAGACAGATAGACAGACAGACAGAAAATTGCACAAGAAATAAATTGGCGGACTTGCATAAAAAAAGAAGACAGTTTTTTCAAGGGTATGAAAACAATAATTAGAATAGAATACATGTCAATGGAATACGAAATACAAATATTCAGGGTCCGCACATCCCTGCAGAAAGAAAGAAATTGTATTAAAAAACCCATTGGATATCCCCTGTCAAACCTGCTCTGTATCCACCTGTGGTTTCCAAAGCACATGTGAAATGATTAATTCTTGGGAAAAGCTGCGTTATTTTCAAAGGTCAGAATGGCAATAGCATACTCACGTTTTATATCTACTCCAAGGCATAGCGTCCATTCGGCTTTCTCTATTATTCTATCTCGATTTTTATCACAGAATTTCAAGAATCGCTTGGCGCACGGTCTTGGCTTGATCAGCTTCCTCACCATCCTGCCAAAGTTGCGAATTTCCTTAAACTTCAACTTGCTGTCTTTATTGGTATCGAGTTCATTAAACTTCCACACCACAATGGCTTTCTCCGTCCCGAATTCGTCGCCATGACCGTCTGTGGGTAAAAGACAAAAAGTCTGAGTTATTTGAGTTAAGAAGAATGGGAATCAAGGCAGGGCATAAACTGATTCTTCAAAGTGCTATTGGGAACGCGGGAGCTCTAATGAAGTCAATGCAGTGGATATCTCATGTCAATATCAAATACAGTGATCTACAAGGTGGTTCACTGGGGTTTTTTAAATGAACAAACAAACAAACAAACAAACAAACAAATAAATAATCAATCAAACAAAAACAGTCCTCCACTATCCATACACTATCATTTTTAAAACATCTCCGCATGCGCGGCTGATAAAGATACTTTGTTTTCTCTTTAGATTTGTTTCTTTAAGAACAATCTTTGCATCTTCCACGTGTATGATATCAAAAGCACAATGCTATACATGTCGAAATTACAGTTTAGGACGATTTTTTTTCTTCTGTTTCTCAAAAAGAAAGGACCACTATCTCGCAGTGTTCAAGCCACGCCTGAGCACGGAATTCTTCCATGACCAAGAAGTTTTCTATTCGTGAATATTTATTATGTTTGACTTATTTTTGGTTGGGCCAGGTTGGTGGAAGGGGAAACCAGGGTAATATGTGCTCTTTAAAAACCAAATATGGTCGATCTTGCCTTAAAAGCCACCTGTTTATGACATTCACCTGAACAGACGACCACTTCCACCCCCCCCCCTAACCCGTGTTTAAAAAAAAAAAATTATTGATGCTGTCCATGACGTCCACCCATCTATAACAATCCCCTTTCTCTTCGACAATGGGAGGTCGTTTCCCCGTGATCTACCTACCTGAGTCGGGTGGCGGGGTAGGGTTGACCCGGTCATACTCCTCCTTGAACACTTTGATGAGAGCGGCGTTGAATGTCTGCCGGTCTTTGCTGTTGCACGCTGGGAACATCACACAAAAACTGTCAGCTATACTTGAAGGACTCCATGACAAAATGCGCAACATAATGTATATTATTTATTTACTACATAACTGAGGAAAATGAAGAGAAAAAACTCGATACTATCTGACAACAAAAGTATAATAAACAAAACACATTTTTAGCGAAGGGCACATGTCATATTGAGACAAAAGAAACATTTTCAAATCAATTCTAAGATTGTGGAGTGGACTGGGTTTTCAGGAAAAGCCCAGAAATGACGTATGTAGCGCGTTTCGCAATGACACACTTCACTGTTTCCTCTCTAATATGAATATATTTTTACTCTCATTGTTCTTATGTGTACCCATGGCGGGCCCAACACTAACTTAAATCAACCTATGTAGTTATCCAGACCCAATGCACGACGCATAAATATATACCAACTCGCTATAAAAATAATAAATCATGAATTTCCTAAACCCCTAGGAAACGCCTACACGGGGTTTCGATAATAAGAAATCAATTTGTTAAACATATCTTGTATCAAGACTTTCTTTATAGAAAGTTAAATAAGATATGCACAAGTCGAACAAAATACAAACTAATTGGTAAATTAAGTTTTCTCCAGAAAATTGACACTTCTCAATTCATAACAAGCTTTTTTTCCCTTTCGTGACAATACGTTTTGAGAAATCACTGCTATCAAAAGCCTAGAATATTTTTTAAAAATTAGAGCGTATTGTAACACAGCACATACCTTTCCTCTTTCTCGTCTTGCCACCTCTGCCCTTTTTCCTTTTCCTTTTTCCTGGAAGGACAGAAAAAAGCAGTAGTATCTAACTATCTATCTATCTATCTATCTATCTATCTATCTATCTATCTGTCTATCTGTCTATCTATCTATCTATCTATCTATCTA